AAAACTTGTTTAAAAATACTTTTCAAATGTCAACATTTGTCAAAATATTTGAAACGGATCAAATGAGGCCAAAACGTAAAAATTAATAAAATCTACCAAGGCAGTTGGCCGATGGTCAATCAACGACAGTCAATCGGGAATGGCAATCTACCGGAAAGGTCTAATGGTCCAAATTTTGAATATTAACGACTATATTGATCATCTGGACATAAAGCGATTAACCTAGGAATATAAACGAGTCGACTCGCAAGCCGACGATTATGTATCGCGTTGGCTACCTTTTGAAAAAAACTCCTTATTGAGCCTCTACAGTCTCCCCATATCCATCCAGGCATTGAGAAAGAAGTCTTGTAAGTGACTGATGGTCAATCAACGACAGTCAATCGGGAATGGCAATCTACCGAAAAGGTCCAATGGTCTAAAATTTGAATATTAACGACTATATTGATCATCCGGACATAAAGCGATTAACCTAGGAATATAAACAAGCCGACCCGCGAGCCGAAGATTATGTATCGTGTTAGCTACCTTTTGAAAAAAAGCTCCTTATTAAGAATCTACAATCTCCTCATATCCATCTTGGTATTAAGAAAAAAGCCGAGGCCAACTTCGACCATGTCAACCGAGTCACAAGTTTCGACGTACGAAGAACACTTGTCTGTCCAATACTTGTGGTGAATTCTCGTAGCCGATTGGACCTCGACATGGAGCATTTCCAAAATTTTGGGCTATCTCATCAGACTTGCCCCCATGAAATTTTGGGTCTTTCCTTTAGAGGCCCCTCCTTTGGACATCTCCTGATCTATTCTATTTTTTATTAAGCCACCTTCCTCTTCTACTTGTTCTAGACGTCTATTATTTTTACAGAGGATATGGGGTTCGCCGTGATGGGATTCTTTGTTGATTCGTATTTGGTAGTCGACGCTTTGGGGGAGGAGGAGGTTCAGTATTTTTGGTTACATTCATCTTTCTCTTTTGAAACTTCTCCTCCCGATGCTCGACCTTTTCTTTACCCTTCTTCTATAGGGGAGGGAGATGATTTATCATTGACAGTCTAGACAACTTATCTTTCTAATGCTTGTAAGTTGAAGTACTGGTATTTAGAGGCTTCTTCTTCTTCGCCTCACCAAGGCGCTTCATAAAGAACATGTCTGGCTTCACATATTCTTTCTTCTCATGTTGCTTTGCAAGAAGGATGAAGCGTCAATATTTGTTCAAAACTTGAAAGTAAAACGCATGAAAGTCGAGGTTGCTTACCTTTGTTGGCCATTGGGGAGTGTGACGAAAAGGGATTACTTCGCTACGACAGTTTTGGAGGATCTCTTCTCAATGGGTTGCTCGTATATGTCCATGACAATAGTCTACTCAAATAGATCGAGTTCAAAATGATCAACTGCAGCTGCACAAAACATAAGTCAATGGACTGACAAAGAAAAGGACAATGAATAAAGATCCTTGTTAAATGGGAATTCACTATAATCATGAAACTGGATTGATACATTAATTTTTAGGACCGCATTGTCTTCCACTGTTTGCCAACAACCCCTAACCTAGAGTCAAGACGACTTCCAATTCTTTATCGAGGTCGAAGTACCCCAGCTGAAGGGCGAATGCGGGCCAATGGGTTCATGCAATACCACTCCATAAAATCTTTCCCCCACTGGAAGGTCAAGGCTGAAAAAGACTTCGGAATATGTGATGAGGCATATCCTCCCCAATAATGATTTCCTTCCAAAGAAGAAATACCCCTGCTCCATGTGTTTAGGAAAAGTTGTGTGGGAATTAGGTTATACTGCTTAAGTAAATACCTAAAGAATGGGTGCAATGACAACTTCATCCCCTCACTCATGATAGTCTCGCTTACTACTACACACCCCTCCCTAGGAAAATAGGCTTGTTCTTCGAGGTCGAAACGAACATCTTAATATTATCAGGGATCCTATATCGCTCCTTAAAGGTTTTCTAGCTCACTCTCCTTTATATAGTCGGCCATAAGGAGGCTCCCTACCTAATGCTATAGTCTATTGAACCCGTCATGCATCATCCATGCACTATGGGGACCTCTCATCGCCTCCATAATTCTCTCAGTAGGAATTATTGGAGGCAAACCAGCCTCGGCGCATATCAACGCCGTTTCAATTTTACCAAAAGACCCCCTGGGTATTAGGTTTCGAAGAAGATGCCATTTATTTCCTCACATAAGCATACATCTCAACACAAAGTCCATATATTATATAAATATTCATACTTAGACTTCAGGGACTATTATTATGCCTTGATTGACGAGGCCCCAGAATACCCTACGGGCACCTGACTTGTGCCCGTACTCTACGTCATTCTGCCAGGAGGAAGTCTGATGAACCCCATGACTGGGTCGACCCATATTAAAAAATTGAACCCTTATACAAGGGAGAGACTGCAAGTGGGGATAGCAGGAGATCCTTTAAGCAATCTTTGATATGTGATTGGTGTGACAACTTATTGCTATCGTCGTCCTAATCCAATTAACCAGGTCAAGTCTAAGCCTCATGACAGGTTTATGGGCAACAAAATAGTATTAGCATTGAATGCTTATAATTGATTGATGCCCTTAACAAGAGGTCACTGCCATATGGATAAGGCCATGTATACTTTCATTCGACGGCCAACATTCACCCTATTCCACTTTAAAAGCTTACACAATGTGCGATTCAAAGATAATGCAAGTTTAGACTTTCAACCATAACTTTACTCTCTTATTATTATTCTCTACATAAACCTCAAAGTCGACCCCATTTTTTATATTGTGGGCTCGCGTCTAAAGCCTCCCACACTCATTTACTTGCTACCTCAATTGATTTTGACTGTTGGAATGCACGCGATCAAGTCCACCCCCACGGGAGGAAGCCACTTGTGGCTAACATTTTGCCCAAGTGTGCATGAATTAGGCTTGTGTGGACGTGAAAGGCTTTGGAATTTATTGGTCATGCTGGATGTACAAAATTCGAGGTCAACAAAAAATATTAAAAATATAACAATAATAATAAGAGGTCAAGAGAGAAAAATATTGATTTTTATATAATTGCTCTAGGGTTCGTGAAATGTTAGAGGAAAGAACGTTAAAGGAAATAGAAATATTACATATTGCAGACATTTATTCTCTCTTTCTTCCTTTTACAAAGTTATCATACGAAGAATTTTTAGATGTAATTAAAATTATTGACATTTTGAATATTTACGTTAGGACCCTTGAAGACTTTTGGAAAGTCCATAAAAGTCTATCCTAGATTGATTCTATTATTCTTTGTAAGCTTGTTGCCTAGAGGTCCCAACACACCCTCCTAAATTGTACTTTATTCATTTTTTATATTAATAATGCACACCAGTTCAAGTTGTTTTAATTTTTTTTTAGAAATTAGTGAAAATTGACCTGTATAGAACCTTGAAATTCAATCTCCATAGGACATACATACACAACCAGCATGTGAAATAGCACTCACATGTTGATACTGGATATTTGAAATGAGAGACATATCCCAGATCCCAAGCTTCTAGTTTCAAAGATAAAATTAAATGAGTTTGTGCAAAAATTAACAATTTCACCAAGTAAATAACTAGCCCTGATGCGTTAGAGTTGACAGCATAATACCTACCTAAATCCTCGGGAATTTTAGAATAAATCTTGAATGTAAGTTAAATAAAAGAATTCAATTGTGTACACATGACAATATTAAACCAAGCAGAGAATACCGTACTCCAGTGTTATACAATCCAACTACATACACCACACTTATGCATCTTGATTGGCCTACTGCGAAACTGTACTATGGTTAACAGAGGTGTGTACTTCTCTGGTTCTAAAACACAATATATTTGCTAATCCTGTATGCATCACACTTCTGCATCTGCTTCTTCTCTGTGAGATGGTGGTGCAGTTGTTCAAAATGTTGTCTGTTTTATTCCTGTTTTACCGTCATCAGAAAGCAAAACATAAATATATATACAGGCCAGGCCATACATTGCTTGTAGTTAACCTGCACGCATCATTCAAAACATTCATTGCCTATTTGGTAAGGTGGGTTGTAAAATATTAAAGGTGAAAACGAAGTTAAGAGTTGTCTATTGTAGTGTTCAATCCTATTTAATACACCACACCAAACATCATAATGACAGTTTAATGGACAAAATTTTAGTTTCGATCTCTTTCTAAGAAATGTCCAATACTATCTAAGCACTGAACACCAAGATTAATAAGGATAGAAACTATTTCAGATCAGTTGCACAAGGTCATTCAAGGCCAGAAAGTACCAAATCCGAATCTAAAATCAACAGAACATAGAAGTTAAGGCAACAAGAATTGGAAGCAAACAGAATCTCCAAGAACGATTTAATAGGTAATCTTTGCCAAATCTGAATTCATTGCAACATAGAAGTAAAGGAGAGAAAAATTAAAGTATATCCCAGCACAATATTAATCAGTGATCTTTGCCGAATCTGATTCATCGCAACATAGAAGTAGAGGTGACAAGAATTGAAAGTAAACAAAATCTCCCAACACAATATTAATCGATTATCTTTACCGCCAGAGTCCCTAACATCTATATACTATATAATACACAGTTAACATATGAGATGTATCCTAACCCAGTAACTGTTGTTTCACTTGACTTTTTGAGTGGCATACACTTTGCAGGTAACGTGCATCACATGATCGTTACGATGAATTGTTTCCAAGCAACATTCCCACCCCCCTAAAAAAGGATACTTGAAGATAATTTTCTATACAGTTTAAATCACTAACTTAATTATTGTAGCAGGGATATGGATTCTCATTCTCATAATTATTTATCATTCTTTTGCTCATAATCATTTCATCAGAAGTTTCTGCTGCAGCGAACTAATTTAACGCTAAACTAAAATAGTAACCATTAATCTATATGCGTTTACATAACTATAAATGCGATTGCCTAACAAAAAGTGCCGTTCTGAAATTGCATAATGATCCATGGAAACTTAACCCGTTAAAGTTCAATAGGGATCCGCAGCCCGTCACGCGCCAGCTGAACTGGTATTCCTTCCCTGGAAGCAAAAACAAATGATTAAGATCCTCAGTATGCTTTGTGAGGCCATTTTGGCCAAGCTACTTTCTAGGACTGCCCATAAGGGAATGCAATAAATCGTACCTTCTAGACCATTCCATAAGAAATTCATTGTCCTTGTGGTGATCAAACTCATGGGTCATTCCTATCAATAAAGCTCTCTTTGGGCATAATCTCTTCACTGCATCAAGAGTCTGGAGACATATTTTGGCAATGTAACACAAGCAGAACTTCCCACAAAAATAACATAAAATAAATCCAAGGGAAATTAAATAGTGAGAACCAAAGAAACCTGAGGGAAGCAAAAGTGAGTGTTGTGAGAACCCTTCTGCAATAGAGACAGAAGAAAAAATAGAATAAGAAACAAAATGACCAGTTAGAATAGGAGATTATAGAAATATTTCTATATAGCTTATATCCTAGTCAAGCTAGGTATTAATATTTTTTCCTTTTAGTTATATGATTTTTCTTTTTCCTTTTCTTTCTATAGATAGGATTACACTTTTATACATAGGCTTGATTGAGTATGGAATAAATCGATTCAGCCTATATTTATACTTGAAGGTCAGGAGAATAAGAGGGAAAATCTTTTATTATCTATCAATACGAGCAAGGAATGAAAGAAAGGAGAAATTAGACTGAAAAAATGCCAGAAAAATAATATTGCACCTGCAACTTATCAAATAAACAAGAAATGCATCTTACTGAATCAAACACGAAAAGGAGGTCGAATTGTGTCAATACTAAATTGTGACTAAAAATGGAATGGTATGAATAGCGGGTTGGTTTACGTTCACTTAAGAACAATTAAAAATAAGCAGGAAGAGGTGGGTATTGTACGAACAAAACATAATAGTTTAGCTTAACAACAATTGAAATAAGCAAAGAATGATTTACCAATAACTTATCACTAGACTAACCTTATATAGTGTGTCCAAGATAAGGAGATCTAACTGTCCACCTCCATCTTTAGAAATATCTGCAATGGCCAATGTTACCTCAATAAATGGCTTCAAATTTGCATGTATGCTAGCGGGATGAAATGTACATTACATAATTAATCACCTTTCTCATGAACTCCGAAGAAGTGACGAAGTTTATTTACATTTTTATTTTTCTACAGGAGATGATCCACGATAACAATTTCTAGGTTTTCAATGTATCGGTCTGTTAGAAGCTTAAAACTTAATTAATCTGGATTTTTCTCCTGGAATCTAGAATACTCACTTGATCTTACCCTGTACGTTGTTTAAGACAGATTATAGTGTAGTCAAGCAATAGGTTTTTCAGTTTTTATTATTATTATTATTATTATTTTTTTAATTTTATTATTATTATTTTTGTTGAAAAAGGTGCCAGGAGGAAGTTTTAACAAACATTTACTTTTGAATCACTAGCTTTCAAGTTTGCCAATTAAAACCATTAAAATTGTTAGATAGAAGTGTTCTAATAGAAAATTCAATCCTACTTCCAATTTCTAAAAATATAATTTTATATAAAAATGGAATTTGTAAATTTCCTTTACAAATTAGCATGTATCGTCTTAAAAAGTGGTAATTAATTTCTCGAGAAAAATCCCCTGACAATGGTAGTTATTTCTAATACTTGAGTTTTTGCAAGGGGCATGCAAATTCTTATAATACTCAAATGTCCAATATGTGCATACATATTTACACCAACACACAATGATGATTGACACAATATTCAAAAACAAAGGATTGCAGGACAGGAGATACTCAATTGCTTACAATATTCTGTGGGTGGAAGAAAGCGTGAAATATCAGAAATATATGCTACTCTGCATCTTTCACCAAAAAGAAAACCTAAGCATACATAGTCTTCACCATGCATTACCTGTACCAACATATAAACAATAGAATCTGTATAAAGTATCTATAAATGAAATATGCGAGAAGAAAACCAAGATATGGTGGAGGAAACTAACTGGCAAAGGAGAAAATTGTAGTCCTGATGCCACGAAGGGCTTCTTACAGTCATTCTCCACAATCTTCCAGTCAAGCTGTGCCACACGTCTGATTTCCTGTCCAGGCTTGAGTTTTTTCTTAACCAAGTAAGGGAATTTCAGTGCAATGCTGTTCCAGAGTAATCAACAATCAATAGGATAAAATATCGATCATACTTAAAATACAAGATACACATCGGTTACAAAACAAACAGAACATATCTTCACATGCCATTATTTTAACCCAACAGAAGCGATGGCTCATCAAAATTTCGATATGATATGCTAGTTTATTAACTAATGAAGGGAGCAGGATCCTTAAACTCAAAATATACACATTGACACCGTGGAGAGTTTCGTAGATGATAATGCATGAGAGAAAAAAACACGTCGCAAATTGATGTACATTTTTCCTTCACAACACATAGCGAAGACATGCCATCAGAACAAATAGTCAAAGAAACCTGATCAAATAAATGAAAATTTATAGAATATCAATGCCTAGTAATTAACACTATCTTCTGCCCCAGAAAGAAAAACCTCATTTTCCCACTTTAGACATATCAGTTAACATAATAACGCTAATAGAGTGACCATGATAAAAAAACTGTATTCTAACATCTTAAACCATAACGAACTCCTAACTTCATCATAGATCCACAAAATTAAAAACAAATAGTCCGTTAGGGAAAGATTATTAATAACTTTTTAGGAACTTTTTAGCAGGAACAATGGTGGGGACCACAAAATGTGAGGATAATAATGAGTAGTAGTTTTGAACGTGTGATTGAAATTAAAGTTCGATTTTCACTATGTAGTACTCTGTAGCACGGACACTTCAATCAGTAGCGTGTCCGTATCGGACACGAGTCGATACCGACACTTCTCGAATACTCTACCGTAATCATTTTTCTTTTTATATTATAAATATTATATATTGTTATTTCAAAGTAATTAGCAAGTAACAAATAGGTACTCATGTTCAAAAGATTTTAAAAAGAAAAATTAATAATAAGTATAAAACTAAATTTATACTATTTAAATGAAGAATTTTTAAGAATTTAATCAACGTGTCGATGACATGTCGTGTCTGTACTTTTTGTAAAAATTACGTGTCAGCATATCCGACACATATCGTGTCGGATAAGAAACAGTAAGAGTGAAGTTGAACGCAATTTGTGACTTTCTGACAAGTATTGTAACCCAATTTTCACACCAGTTATGATCTCAGCCAATACGTAATCATATTTTCATGTTTATAACAAGCAGAATTAGACCAAACCATATTATTAAGGCTATCATAATTAAATGTATAAATCACAACAGAAGTGCAAAGTACCTCTCCATGGCATATTGGGAGAGGTAGATGGGAGTCGGATCAATATCATTCGTTGAACTATAAGGTTGCACCGTACGTATATCATCCAAACCAAGAACCGCGTCAGCATGTTCATGAGTTAAGATAACCTGAAGATGTCAAAATATCAGCTAAATACTTTTACGTATTAGATTTGAATGTTACAAATGATTAATCGAGAACAAGACGCGTAGGTTGGTGAGATAGCATTGAGTTGCTGGATTATTCTACCATGCGGTGTGTTTAAATCTCACCCAAATTTTACCCCTAGTAAGTTCATGAAACAATTTTTTTTTTCAAATACAGAGAAAAGTAAAGAACAATATATACTTTTTTCTCAAATACATATAAAAGAAAAGAACAATATATACCTTTTTAATGTAAACCAAGAGAAAAATCATTCTTCGTAATGAAGTGTGAAAAGACAAGATAGTTACCAGTAGTTTAGCAAGTCTATACTATACGTAAACAAAATCCAACTACCAATATCTGTAGAATGCCATCATTCAGATGGTGAGTATGTATTTCATATAGATCTTTTAAAACTTAGGGAAATTACTTGGATTAGCATCTTTAATAATTTAGTCAAAATGCTCAAATTACCATCTACTACATGTCCTGATGTACAGACTTTGTAATTTAGGGAAAATGTTATAATTAGCATCTACTAAATGACTGTGTATTTTATCTCTATCTCACTCTTGCTCTCAATATGTAAGTTCTCCTTCTGTACTTCCCTTCGAAACATTAATGTTCAAACTTACGGAACATTAAAAAAAAAGCAATTAAAACTCATTAAAAAAAAACACACACACACACACACACACAGCATTAATAAAAAAGGAGAATCAAAATTAATAAAGAGGCACAACAAGATATTTTGTGAAGATCAACATCGAAGGCGTATTGATTCTACAAGTATATTTCATGGCTAACAATATTGGTCAAAGGAAAATATATTGGTCATTTCACTAGGACTAACACATATTAGTTGACAATTCAATATTTTTAATGTAGTTCATCATGTCTGTGGCAAAATAAAGTAAACATAAAGTATAGTGGGAGAGCTGGAAGAGAGAAGGAAAGACAGCAAAGGATTTACGAGTATATTGGTCATTTCACTAGGAATAATACATATTAGTTGACAATTCAATATTTTAAATGTAGTTCATCAAGTCCGTGACAAAATAAATTAAAAATAACGTATAGGGGGAGAGCTGAAAGAGAGGGAAAAAGATCAAAGGATTTACAAGTATTGTGACAACTCTTGCTCCCCTACCTTTTGGAGGTCTGGGGCTCCTAATATGTATAAATAGAAAATGGTAGTACCCCTTCTTCCAGCTCCAAAGGATGGAGGGGGTATATGACGTCGAAAAATTTCCCACTGCAACCTCCCGTAGGAGTCTGGGCCGTGTCTTAGTCCCAGTGTGGCTGAAGCAGAACACCTTAGTCCAAGTGTGGCTGAACACCAGTGAGTGCTTTCTAAGGCTTGTATGTAAGAAAAAAGGGGGGTCTCATTGTGCTTTACTTCTTTCTCCCATCCCATGTTTTCACTACCATGCGGTTGGGTGAGCTCATACTTGAAATTTGACACACAAACTCAGAGGAATCCTATTGTCTCTATGGGGGAATTTCCTAAGGCTCTTTAGTATTGTACTATCTGGTATAATAGCCCCACCATGGTGATTTACCTGAAAGGGTTCAGGGGAGAGTGATTCAGAGGAGAGAGATAACTGCATTATTATTGCTTGTCTTTCCTTTCTTCCAGGTGAGTCTTAATCATATATCTAAAATCTGGATGGAGAATATGCGGCCACGTAAGTTCCTAGTTCTCTACTATTAAAACTTGCCACTTACTAACAGACAATCGGACATCTAGTATCACCACTGGAAGTAAATTTATGTAGGTATTGGGCAACCTGGAACTGCATAAACAGTTGGTGTAATCTCAATGAATCTACTATAGTTAATACTAATTGCAGTTTTCTATAATGGAAGGTGAAGTTTGCTTCTCCTTCACCAGCACATAAGCATTCGAGTCCCTGGCATAAGGTGAATGGTTTAGATGCAAATTTCTTGGCTATCACTATATGGCATGCCTAAATGTTTACACCGAGAGACTAGTTAAAATAGATTTAGAATAAATTGGATCTTCTGTCAAGTATATATATCACATTTACCAAAAAAAAAAAAGGGAAGGAATACAAGGTACGGAATACTCACAGAATCCACCTGCGGAATTTTATGGTAAGTGAACCACCGGAGCACTTGCTCCCTAAACGTCTTGCCAACATCAATCAATATATATTTATGATCACCATCACCACCACAATAATCGATAAGTAAAGATGTATTGCACCTACATTTCCAACAACCATATAACGACATGTCATACCCCGTTCATTAAAAGTTGTACAGTAAATAACAACAAACCTGGGAAATATAATGCCAGAACAAGGTTTAATCAGACAATGCGAAATCGAATCTACCGATCAATTTCTTCGAAAGATTTGATTAGTTCTAGAGAAAATTAAAATAGCAAACGCTAATATATAAGCAAATGACAATGACCTGTAATTAGGGTTTTGTTCCGGCGGTATAGATAGAGATTGGGAACAGACGTGACAAGGGGGATCAGAGGGCTGGATCAAGCACATCGCGTTTGGAAGCGCGCTAGAACAACCGGTACCGAGAAATATCAAAGACGATCGCGGAGGCTCCACATTTCCATTCTCCGCGACTTCATGGTCTGCGGTTGCCATCTCCCCGACGAACTGTGTGTTTAACGTGTGTTTGGGCGGCGGCTCGCAGGACCCGGAGGAGGAGGGAGTGGTAGCGCAGAGAGGACACGAGGGAGAGAATTACGCGTGAAATTTTATGAAGAGCAAAAAATGTGGGGCCCAAACAAGGAAAAATAGCCGTTTAGCGTGTTTGGTTTTTCTTTTTCTTTTGGTAATTTGAAGGTTTCTTGGTGTTTTGTTCCTCTCATGGATTTGTTATCACACCATATTATTTTTTAATAAATACAGAGTATTTTAATTACATTGTGCCTTGTTTGATTTTCATTCTTTTCAAAATATATATTTTTCCTCTTCTTTTCAACTACTCATTTTTTAATAAAATAATATCAGACAAAAATTCAAAACTTTTCTTTATTTTCAAAACATTCATAATCAATCTATTATTTCAAAATGTATTCTTAGAATAAAAATAGGGTTCAAACAGACATTAAAACCATTAGTATTCATATATTATCATATTTATATTTTTAATCTTTTTTCATCATATTTTTATTTTTAATATTTCATTAGTTAGAAAATCATGTCTTTAATCATGAATTTCATCCAAAAATATTGTTAACGTGCTTTAAAATGAGAGTCAAATATTTAATCGTCTTTTTACATTGTTATTTATTTTTCTTATTTGAAAATACAATAGACAAATGCGTCTTGAAATCGAATTTTGTCTTGAAGAAATTAGATATGATTTTTCTTGAGGTTAATATTGTTAATAATTTTTGAAATTTAAATATCTTTTAAAGCATTAACATCTTTAAAAGAGGGGGGGATTTGTGAATTTGAAAATAATTTCTTTTCCAAAAATTTTTGTAGCCGATCCTTTTGTATCTGCTGTAAAATGATAAATTTGAACAATAAAGGGTGTTCCAAGAATCACCTCTTGATCAAGTTCTTTGACAAAGTAAAAAATATTTTTGAAACAAATATTATTTTGACACACATGCGCATTTGAAAGTTTATATTGAATATCAAGTTTTTTCCCGCTGGTTCCGTAGAGTTTCTCAGTAGTTTTTTCAAAGTATTTGGTAGGGATAAGACCTTTCCTAGTACAATTTTGATCTGCACCGGAATCAATTAAGACTTTATGATGCAGTCTAAATTCTTTATTGACTACAATAGTCATATTGTAATACCATTTTTAAAATTGAATTCTAAAAATAACATTGACCTTTTTTCTTCAGTAAATGAAGAGGAGGTCTTATGAGATCTAGAATTAGATTTTTTGGATCTTGAAGATTTGTGAGTTTTTTTAATCGGAATTAGAGTGAGAAGCATGAGAGATTTCACTTTCCGAAGATGAAGTAGAGTTGTTAAGAAGTTTTGATTCAAATTTATCAACCTGAAGATGAACAACTTCAATTTTAACATCTCTAACTTGTTTTTCAAGATTAGAAACTTGAGATTTCAAAGTATTGACTTCTGATTTTAGATTAGAACTAGAAGCTTTTGATTTCTCATTTTGAAAACGTTTCAAAACATCTTGAAGTAAATTGAAGAATCTTCTTTCGGTGATTTGAACTTTGCTTTTGCTTTTGTCTACCACTTTAAAATTTTTTAGAAAACTTTTATTCATATTCCCAAAGTCACGTTGATCTTTATATTTCAAAGCAAATTTTCAATGCAAGTTAATTAGGTTTGTTTGAACCCATTTTTTTATTTTTATTTATATATATTTTTTTGAAATAATAAATTTTATAATAGTGATTTTTTGACAAGTATGTGGTTAAAATGTAAGAATTTTTTTAAAAAAACTTTACATGTAAAATTATTTTATCGAGAATATGCGTAATTAGAAATATATATTTTTTAAAATGACATGTTAGAGCATGTCCAACCCATCTCATTGCATCATGATTCATCAGATTGCACCAAATTTTTGGTGCAAATCTCCTCCACCCTATTGCACATTTTTGCACCAAAAATGTAAACCTTTTTGAAACTGGATTGGAGATAGCCTTAAACCTACATACCTTCTCCACGTGATTTGTCTGCTTTATCGTGCCTAAAAAATGAACTCCAAATAACACCTAAGGTAGGTGTTGATTTTGGGACTCGCAAAGAGATATTGATAACTTGAGGAGATTTCATTTGCGATCATGCAATTTTTCACCAACTTAAAATTTTATTCATGATGATCGCTGAATTTCATTTTATTTTAATTTTATTAACGAACTTATGTTGATATTTCAATTTGATCATCTTCTTGAAAAATAACCTAACAATGCGTCCCACTTGAACGAGAAAATTTGCGACTTTGGCCAATAGAAATAATCTAGTCGTTAACTTTTATCAAAATATACTAAAAATCTGATTTTGAGCTAAAATAAGGCTTAATTAGTGAACACCGGCCTCAAACATCGGATGTGATTTTTATCTATGAACTGCAATAGTTACAAGCACAGACGAGTAAAAATAAAAACCCTCAAAGATAAATAAATAAGAGAGACAAATTCAGCCGAAGCATTGGTCACTAGGAAGTGGCCCAGGAATAGAACCCTGCTGAATAAACTGCAAGCCAAACACCACTACAATGGCAAGCAATGACAAATATGACAACCCTTCAACAGCTCCCAACAATCCAAATGGACCATTAGGCAAACCTGAACCAGTTTTAGACTTGGTATACAATGACCAACCCACAATTGCCACCACTACTAGGTAACTCACTCCCTCAAGTGCACCAATTGATCCTCCTGGGCCGGGCGGCAGGCCGCAGCCTGTTGTCTTAAGTGTGTAAAGAGACCATCCGATTACTGGGGTGGTGACCAATCCTCCGACAATTGCTGCTGCCTCAACTGTGCTATTGCCGCTTTCGCTACCTTCTTTTGCCATGGCATGGACTTTAAGTGGTTGATGAGAAGGGAATTTGCTTCTATTGTTGACATTGTGATTACTTTTGGTTAGTAATAGGGGCTGTGTTGAGTGAGGTGGAGATAAGAGAAACATTTTATGAGAGGCAAACCTTAGGCTTAGAGAAGTGAAGTTTTAAAGATTGTACAGTAATGTATTCATATTATGAGTGATGCACAATTGCACCTTATCCACTGGCACTGCATGGAAGGGGGGGGCGGGGGGGGTTTATTTTGAAAAAGGCCTCTTTTGACTAGTCTATATAGAAATTAGCTCTTGACTTTAAAAAATAAAGTCAAATGACCATTGTTACGTCTTGCCAACGAGACTCACATTTTTGCCCACGCGGCACTCTATATGGGAGCTGAGTCGGGAGCAATCCACGTCATCAAAATCAAATATAACTTAGGGAAAATTGAGGCAGTGGTCCCAAACCTTTCATTTTGTTGCAGATTATACCCAAACCTTTTATTTTTGCGGTCGAAGTCCCAAACCTTTATATGTAGTTGCAGCGTCGGTCCCAAGCCTTTAATTCCGTTCATAAAACCGTCAGTCAATGTTTCAACAGTAATTTTGATTCGAAAAAATTGCAGCGCTGGTCCCAAACCTTTCATTTTGTTGCAGATTACATCAAAACCTTTAATTTTTGTGGTCGAAGTCCCAAACCTTTATATATATAATTACAGTGTTGGTCCATTTCACCCATTTCGTCCATAATTGTCAAAACAAGTTATCCAAAAAAAAAATGTTA